CTGCCAAAAAGTCTGAGTGCATACTTATCTACTCGGATAGAACCGGCTGGATATCGAATGAAGTGTTGGCTGACTGCGTATTACCCACAGTGGTCTGTCGATTTTCGATTTGGGCCCACCATTGTGAGGTCATGGACTCGAGATGGGAGAGCTATCTACAAGACGCTCTGCTGGAAAGAAGGTCTCTGTTTCAACATGACATTTTGTTTGCATAGAATTTCTCCTCGGCGTTTCACTTTAGCATTTTCGAGCGTTGTCAACGTGTCTTCAATCAACATAATCTGTAATTTAACCATGCACCGCATCTTAGATGTTCAGAGTATCCCGTATATAGCATGCTCGAAGGGTGACTGGGCGCTTTTGAGGGATTTCATACGAAACAAAAGGGTTGGGATATCGGATAAGACTGAGTACGGAAGCACGTTGCTACATGTTAGTTGCCAAAGGAATTGCTTTGGCCTATACGCTGACTTCTGGGACAGATCGCAGCGCGTGAGAATCGCTATGAAATGGTAGTCGGACTTCTACAGGAGGGCGCTAAAGTGGACGCTGAGAACGATTTCGGAGAGTAAGACCTGATCAATCAGCGTCCTGATCACACTGAAGCTTACCTCTTATAGGACTCCTCTTCAAGAGAGCGTAGAATCTGACTGTGACTATAGCATAATCAGTCAGCTTCTTAGTTACAATGCGGACCTGTATCACCAGGACATTACTGGGCGAACGCCTCTACACGTATACTTCAACTCCGCTATTCGAAGCCTTATCGAATTCCATTACACGGATATTGATAGCACTTCCCAAGACTCCCGCGGCATGACGGTACCGCAATATGTCGCATGGACAAACCGATCGAGGAGAGAAGATTTGCTCCGGTGCTGTAATGGCGACATCGCGTGTCTGGGGATAGTGAACGAAGAAGGAAAAGGCCCACTACATTTCGCATGCCAACGAGGGAATGTGGACTTAGTCAATTGTCTTCTTACCTTGGACGATTTCGACATTTCAGTACGAGACCACCAGGGACGCACATTACTTCACTATGCTACTGAGAGCAGTCGAAGTGCGCAATTGATCGAGCTGTTGCTACAAAAGGGGGCAGATTTAGACGTACGTGATATCCATGGAAGAACTGTCATGCACTGCGCAGCTTTGCAGGGAAATCTTTCAGCTGTACAAAAGCTCATTGACGCTGGCGCTGCCTCGCAAGTATTTGCATTGGATGATGCGTCAAGGACGCCATTTGAACTCGCCATTTCGGAGGGAAAGGATGCCATAGTTGAATATCTACAGGAGAACTATAATGTTCATTCCGAAGCAACCAGTTCGATATCTTCGACTGCCAGGGTTAGTCAGGTGCGCAAAGATGAGGTCAGAAAGGAATTTTCTTTTGGTTTATGGATCCTGCTTAGTTTATTCATGGTGATCATCCTACTCACTAGGGTCTCGATGGTTGGTGGCATGGAAATAAGGCCCATTGTGAACCCTCCCTCTCAGACGCTGTCGCGGAGTGCAAGGCACTTTTCATACCACCCCGCGTGATTAACAACGTGGCAGATCGCTGATCCCCTAGAAGAGTAGGTACAAGACATTTTCTAAAAGAAGAAACTGAAGGAATAGCCAGAGCTAGTTTATAGGCGGTACTAGAGTAAAGGGTAGATGCCATGAACACTACTTAGTCATAGGAAAGGCGAGGGACTTTTAAATCCAGAGGGGAACAAAGCTGCTCACGGAGCATCTAATCGAATATAACAGTTACCTCAGATATAGCGCAGCGCCCTCGTCATCAGTATGCTAAGGGGGGAAGATTATAACCACCTAAGTAGCGCACGGTTACAGAATTATAAAAGGGTGGAAAACTGGCTCATGGACAACTCCAAGCAACCAATTAAGAGAAATTGAGGTATTAGGAGTGGAGAGACGATAGAAGGAGAAAGGTAGGCCAACGAGGGCGGCGTACTTCTATGTGATGAGGTCAGCGCACGGGCCATATAAGAGCGGCGTGCTGCCAAGTGAGCCTCTATTGCCGCTTAGAATCTCCAGATGTGATTTCACTATCACTAATATACCCTCTGTTATAGTCTCAGCATGTACATCGGGTAGTACGATATGCGTTCGACAAGGTCGCTAAGGCTGCGTAAGTGACTTGCTCTTGTTGCTCATTGGCTCAGCGTCCGGATAAGCGTAGCTTGATGCGAACCCCAGCGCTTCGGTTCGGCGGTCAGCCTGCATACAAAACCCCAATTTTAGCCCCCGATCGACCCTTTTCGGGACCGCGATACCTTCTGTTATTAGTACAATGTGCGCTCGACAAGGGTCCTATTCGTCTCCTATGATAGCATCGCATGCAGAACTTCAAAAATATACCTAGCTTCCACGACCCTGAAAGGAGCATGGCCACCTTCACTGTCTGGAGATATAAAGATTTATCGGCTTGCTGATACCCCAGAATCAAGTTCTCCTCACTTCAAGATACATTTTTCGTGTCTATTTTTTTTTCTCGTTGGAATGGCCGAACTCGAAGATCGCTTCGTCAAGCGAGGGTATTGGATAAACTGGAGCCAAGGGTCGATCATGGGTCAAACCTTCACAGTCGAAGCACAAACAGGCACCCTCATCGTTGCTCTCCTCACTATACTAGCCTCTATAGCTACGGCACAGCTATGGAACCTGCTCACTTTTGTACTCCACCAAACCCGGGCGCACGGCAGTGCCTCAGAAGGCCTATTCTGGCAGCAACAAGTGTTGCTGCGGACGATGCCCACCCCGACAGCATTCATGGCAGACCTTATCAAGATATCCTGGAGATGGAGGTCCAGAGTTCGCCATTCTCTGATACGAGCTTTACCGGTACTGGCTTTCGCTCTTTTCTTCGCGATCGGGTCGATTGCAGGTGGAATCTCGACTTCCTACGCCGTGGACAACTCGAACATCGAAGTGCTGGTTGATAGCCCGTTCTGTGGACGTATAAACAATACAAAAGTATTCTCGCGGAATCAGCAGGGTGTCAGTATAATAGCTACTCACGGCGACGCTATCAACTCTTACGCAACAAATTGCTACCAAAACAGCTCGTCGCTTCCTGCATCTTGTCGGAATACTTTCCATCGACCAAACATCACATTTAGCGCCGATCCCGTCTCTTGCCCCTGGAATGAAACAATGTGCACTGGTCAGGGCTCCTCTGCGATTGCCATGGACTCAGGTGTCGTAGATATGAGGACAAATTTTGGCCTCAATGTCAAGGAAAGCGATACGGTCCACATACGAAGGCGGACGATCTGCAATGTCCTCCCACGCGAAGGCCATATATTCGAAAGACCTCCGGATTATTTGAACCGAGGACTACCGGCTGATAGATGGACATTAGAATACGGTTTCTGGAGGGGCGTTCCCGAATATCAACATCCTGAGGTCACGTTTTACCAAAACACTGTACTTGTCAAGAATCAAATGTCCTTTTCCACCACGTAAGTTGCCAAATGCTTGAGCGCACCTCTTTTGCTAAATTCTTCCTTCAATAGTGGGATGATGTCTTATGTACACGGCAATTCGTACGAGGCAGGCATCATTCCGCTTCCGGAGATGCACCGCAATGATGCAGACATAGTACTGATTCCGGTTTGGCCCAACGCTGTGGTCTATGAGAAACCAGTTGATGACCCCCTGTTTACGGCGCATCGAGTTGAAATGCGGCCGCAAGCATCGGGTAAAGACAAGGCGCTCTACTGGTCCGACTTTCCTGTTGGGGTGGTTGGTTGTGCCTTGCAAGTATGACTCCGTTTGCATTCCGCTCTTCCTGTGCATCTCGTTGATTGTTACAGTACCAAATCTGCTATCCCCGAGCTGTCAAAGAAGACTACTGCACGGAACTGGGTCCCAGTCCGTCACCAGAAGACACTTCCAACGAGTGGCCAGAAGCTACACCCGTGCAACATTCCATCATCCAGCTTCTACTTTCTATCAATCGCATCACCAATTCAAACAGGAGTCCACACCTGAATAATCTGCGAGCCAGCAAGACTGTTCAAATTGGCATTTCGCCCGGCTTGCCCGATGATCAATGGGTCCAGGAAATCATCGGATGGGAAGCCTTCGTCTGGTCTGGCTACCAGACGATGCTCACTACCTCCGTCATCGGTCCCAAAGTTTTTGATGAATCCGGCGATGACTATAGAGATTCGCCAACGGATGCGGGCGATAAGCAACTTTGTCAATCACTCAAGATGCGCAAGGCTGGTGGTTTCGCGTAAGCATGATCGTACCTCCTTTTTGTCCACCTCAACTAATGATGATAGTAACGTCAATGTTTTTGCCCTCATCTTCCTGACTACCTTCTCCGTCGTCATCACTCTTTTCAATATCCTCATCCTCCGCTTCTGCATCTTTCTTTCCAAATTCCGTGCCGCGCTCGCCCCTCGCATTGAACGCTGGGTGCAAGACGGCATCTTTCAGCTGCAGCGCCGCGCGTTTGAAGCGGAGGATGAGGGCATGTGGGTCGATCTCGAGAAAGAGATTCCCGTCACGAAGCGAAGCGAGAGACTAAAGGAGTTGACTGTTGCGCCCCATGTGGTGTGGGGAAAGCAGAGTGTCGGAAGCTTCAAAACTGATGAGACGAAGGTGGAGGAGATAAAGGCGAAGAGGGCTGATGAGGACGAACAACCTAGTTTTCGAATTAGCGTTGGGAGGGTGGATACGGGTGCTACACTCATCGAAGAAAGTGCTGCGAATGAGAAGGTCCTGGAAAAAAGGTGTGATGGGTTGGACCCACAAGATTTATAGCATACATTTCAAATAAATACAGTTCTGTACACCTGAACCATCTAGAATTCATGTGCCCTCGGGGTTATTGATAAGCAGATGTTGCTACAATAATACCACGCAGTGGTAACGCACAGGCCATTCCAAAGGCCCACTATTACCCACACCTCTCCACATGCAACATGCAAAAATGAAATCTCGCCACCTCGACAGCGATTCTTAGTTACCAGTGACAAAAATGCATCGAACGGGAATCGAACCCGTGCCTGAAGCAGACTATCGTTTGATGGGAAGCTTCAATTCTACCACTAAACTATCGATGCAATAGGAAAATCTGGACGATGATGTGACTTGCACAAACAACATGAATATATACACACAAAATTATGCAAGTGAACATCGTAAAGAGGAGAGGGAGATCGGATCAGGTACATGTGTTATATTCGGCTATAGATTGTGGGCTAAGATGATGGTGGAGCGAGATGGTTAGTGCTTACCCCTCTTTTCGCGTCATTTTGCCGACGTAAGGGATGACCGAGTCATGCGAGCGGAGTCAGCATCACCATCATCAGAATGGTCCGGAATGGCCCAAACGATTTGCATAGTACATGGCAAGCAAGTATCCATGACTATTGTCTATCGATAAGATCACTTCATACCATTGACTTTCTATGTTCGTGATGATTCGATATTGGGACGCTAAGGGTCAGGAGGCTTCGATTCTCCCACGACACTATCATTATAGTTATGGGCCCGAATTAAAATCCTTTAATGATAAAGCACATGAGAAAAGTGGTACGAGAATGCCGTATTGGTTGAAAAAAGTGGACATTTTGCGTGCCAAGTTGTTACAGGATACACGTCATGAAGACGGTCCACGAAAGCTGGTAAGGATATTAGAGCATGTCAGAAAGGAGTGATCCATACATTTTTGAAAGATAACATATATGGTGACAGTAGCAAGAATCTCCACAATTAGGTGACATGAGAATGAACGATGGAGAAGTACCTTTTAACGTTGTTTTAGATATAGGCATGACCGGAATAGCTAGAGGAGAATTTAAGCGATCTCATTCATTCTGTCTTACATGATACCGTCATTAATCTCCTAGATGTAATTCTATCTTTGATGCATATCACAAACAGTCACTCCATTGATATATAGCAGATGCTACAACTACTCACATTGTATGCTCGGATACCTCTCTGCGTCTAAAACCCCTACTATAATACATACTCACACACTATTTACTCGCCTGGGTACCGTAGCATTATGCATGTTGTTTCTAGCGATTAGAGTCTACTGCAGTTGATCCTTGTATTTCTAAGCCGATTGTCACAATGTCTCTATTACATAAGAAGAGAGATCAGCGTTATAATTGGCTGGAAGTAGCCGTACAGCCATTGTGAACCATTCTCCCATCCTCTACCGCCTCTCCTATCAATGCCATAGTTATTGATGCGGCTGAACTTCATTGGTACAAGATGACGCAAGCCCCTAGCCCGTTCAGCCACTTGGGCCCCCTAATTGTTGCTATTGTCTTTAAGATCCCATCTCAATACTTCTAATCAATAGACAGAACCATAGTATCAAAAGAGCGAGCTTTTATCAATGATCTTTAGCATTACCCCGCCAAACAGAAACTCCAGAAACCGGCATGAAAACCCGTTCCATCACTCCGTGAGTCCCGCAATACCTGTATGTTTAAGGTCCCAGTACCATGGCACCACCTAGTACTACATCAGATGGATGACGTAGAAGACTTGGTTAGCGGAAGTCTACCACAGATCAGATGTGCCACTCGGGTAGTCGTCGGATGGACGAAGGATATCGTCTGTGTGGGTTTAGCATGTGGTGCAGAGATATGCATTCTGATAAGCGAAAGGGGAGTAAGTACTCCCACAGCCTATTCGAGTTTTGGTTGTTGATCCGTGGAAAGACAAATTCGTAGACCCAGTGCCCAGGCATAGCACGCCTTTACAAAGCACCATGATCTACATGCTAGTCGTCAGAGGCACAATGGCCTCATGGAAAATGTGAAGCAGCATTCATTAGGTCCCTAAATACTCCATCCCCAACAAAAGGTTCACCACTCAACCTTTGCTTAAAATCAACGATAGTGTGTCTCACTCCCCAAGGCCCCAAGGCCTACCAATTCGACCTCGTCATCTTGACTCTTGTCTCGTGAACAGTCCATCTCCTCTGTACCTTTATCTTCACCAGATTCCTCTGGAACCTGGACCTTTCTCGCCATCGAAAAGCCCCGAATTCTCTCTGATATGATGATGGTCTGACGAGCCCTTCGTCGAGCCGAAGAGCTTCGGCAGAACACGTGCGAGTAACATGCGGAAGGTGGGCATGCTTGCACAAATTATGCCTACATTGATCTCAACGATAGACCAGCGCGTGACATCCCACTGATCCCAGGTTGGGTTTGTCGACTTGGCGAAGTGCACCAGAGAATGCAGTCGGAGAATTGACACTACGGTCACACTGTTGGCTGGAGTTAGACGAAGCGATGAGTAAGTACATTGTAGTCTGGACTTACAACGTGCCAACACCAAACATCAAAGCCACTGCAAGCTTCTTTTTGAGTGCTAGATTGAGGCGAAGGACCTGCGAAAGTGGAACAGCCAGCATCCAGATATCGACCGCGATGCTGATCCCAGCGTTCGCCCATGCCAAAGCATTTATGTTGAAGCACTTGCCATTCTGCTCTCCATCCCAATAAGTCCAGTAGTGTGATATCGGCTGACACTGAAAGATACCTGCGATGGTAAAAGCTATTCCAAACAAGACGTTGAAAGCGATCGTAGCCCATAGGACTTTCGTGATTGTTGTGCCAGGGAAAATCCTTTTGTAGAAAAATAAGAGCGATAGCTTCAGGAATGTAAGCTCAACGAAGTAAAGAATTTCCATGACATAGAAAAATCGCACAAAGTTTGTTATAGATGAAAAGGGCAACGTCCAGATGTCCCTTCCAAGGCCAGATGGTAACGTGCCGCGATCGATAATGATGGCATTGCTCATGCCGACATATGTGGCCACCATCAGACACAAATCGTCTATCCCAAGACCATTACCAGGACCGGTGAATTTGCCAACAATTCGGGCAAGTATAGAAAGGTTGGAGAGGATGGCCAGTGCGATGTTCGTGGCTTTCAATCGCCCGCTTCTATTGCGGACCGGCAGCTCGCATAAGGTAGAGGTAACGTTCTTCGTTGTCAAGCCCTCTTTGATAGTGCAAGACTGTAAGACACATTTTTCAACATTTCCTTGCAGCGAAACGTTGGTACAGGTACACCTTTGATCTGTCAACTCACACGGCGACTGCGCGGTGGCATTCAGTAGACAGCTCAACTATGATCATGTCAGCCCCTTCAAATTATACCCTGAGTTTGAATCGGCACATACCGCACAAGAAGGAAGAGCTTCTATTGCTGACATCAGTGTCATATCCTGAGCAAACACGTACGACGTCAAACTCTGAGCCAACATTAATATGCTGAAAGCCTTCATGACGCCTGCATGGGTCCAGATACCTGGAAACGGGATTAGAGGAGCGAGATAAATATGTCAGGAAGCTTACATAGATGCATTCTTGACTGTTGAGATTTTAGGGGCAGTGGTAGAGATGTCGAATAAACCATGACGGCAGATCTGCCGGTTATGGAAACTTTATCGGCACAGGAGATCCAATGAGAAAGTGTATTATGGTGGAAGGAATGCAGGGTCTTAAGGCGTCCCATAGACTTCAAAGCAACTCTAATTCATAGTTTTGACACACACATGGCTGATCGAAGGCGAATTATGTAGACATGACTGCGTGCACATCGGTGATAGATCCGTGGGACCAAAGCTTCCTTCGCATTGTCTTGTGATTGGACCAACTGTATGTATTCGCATAAAGTGACTGCAGATTTGATCGACGGCCCCACAGATTTACCTATGCTGTTGCAGAAAGCAAGAATGCTGCTTCGAAACCATCGCCAAGCCTTGGTCCATGATCTATACTAGTGGCGTGTGGCACACAGGGGTACATATGCATTGAGTCGCCTCTCTATTCTGCGGACGAGATAATCAGAACGCTGATTCGCAATATGGGTTGATCTAAACTCTGTTAGTGTTATCTTGCTAATAAACTCTTGGCGCGATTAGGTTTGGACTAAACGATAAAATATCGATCGTCGATCATTACCAGGAACGAGTGCTTGCCAGCTGCTGCTTTTACAAATACCAATGAACCGAGTTTTGTACTGCAATGCTGGATAACCGGAAGAGTTCGATATATTGAGTTCCTTTATACATATGCTATATCCTAACTATAGATCCTAGAACACTATAACAGCCCCGCTATCTCACCCTGACAGAAGCTGGCAACATCAACACTCCTATTGTCATCACTCTGAGCACATATCAGTACACAAGTATTCCACAAACTTAAGAAGCGAACAAGCAAATCGGAGATATCATTCGTCTAGCCACGACAGCTACACACCACGCTGTATACAAGACATCTACCACAGCGTTCTCTGTATATATAGGCGTAAACAGCTAGAAACAATGACTCCAGCATCCAGTATTCGATCCATGTTCTCCTCAGCTATATATCTATGACTAATGGAGCCTCGACCCCAAGCGTGTCGTCCCAGAAAGCTAATTTGGTTATGAGCAATATGCTCAACCAGTGGTAACGACGGAAATGGGCATGGTCAATGAGATTAATTCCACCTGTCACTGCGTCTTCTCTGCCTTCTCCCGCTTGATTGAATGGTATGAGCACGAATTGAGCGTCCACGATGTCTATGTTTCGGGTTTCTCTGCCATTCTTTCATAGCATTAGGCAAAGCAGTGATGAGTGTTTGCATAACACCAGCATCGTCTAGGAAATTGTACATATTCCCTCGGTAGTTAAGATCTGGAGTAAATATACCGACCGAGTGGAAGAACAAAGAGAGATAGAAATGTTTGCGCAAGGATTCATATCACATTTCCATTGATCGAGAGATTTACGCATGTCCAAATCTTCTTCAGGCTTGTTCATAATGCCTGAGTAGCATCAGACATCATAAAGACTGATTGTTCTGTGCAAACGAATGTTCCCTTCTCCGACAATGAGCTCAAAGTAACACCATCTTGAATCAAGGATCAAACAAATCTACAAGAAGTGTAACAAGATCCCACTATCCCAGTCAGTACATAAGCTAAATGGTGGACGGGTGAGCTCACCAAGCTATTCTCGAATCTCTGTTCGCGCTTCGTCAGAGAGTTCTTGAGATCGATGGTCCACCGAAAGGTAGTCACTTCGCCGGATCGCTCATC